ACTCGTATTGCCGCAATCTCACTCTCCAGCTAATCAATCTTCTTTCCGACACTATATATCTCCTGCTTTCCGCACCCGACCGAAGCTACTGTTCGTGTCATCAGCTGACGAGTCACCTTAGCCAGTTTACTGATATCCATAGGTTGCGCTGCGTTCACTATTTTCAGCTGCTGGGATACGGTGGCAGGCACTCTCTCGATAAACAGTGACGCCAACAACTGTACCTCCGACTCCTCGTCCAGATTCGGCAGCGCACGGCGTAACAATCTGGTAAGCTCTACAGCCAACAACATTGGGTCACCGTCGACCGACAACCTCGCCAACCGGTACTTCCTCCCTGTCTACTGGGCTGTCGAACTCCGTCACCAACCACTCCGTGACTGTCGCTCACGTCGTCTTTCCGCCAGCACCGTCAAACCTGTCATATACAGCCCTCGTCCTGCTTCTCAGCAGCGTCCCCAGAACCACCACCTTCGCCTTCGGCTCCTTCACTCCCACCAGCTCCACCACGACCTCAAACTCCTTCAGGAAGCTCAGCACATCTTCCCCATCTTCTGCTGCCAGACATTACATTTCTGACTCGCATTATATACTATTTATATCAGTATAAGTAGCATTCACCACAGTAGTACAAAATTTTCATGTGCTTCTATAATTTGGTGTCTAGGAGATACCAAATAAACAGTCTCTAGGCCAGTCAAAAACAATACTATGAAAGTGTATCTGATTACAGTTCCAAAAATAAAATCTGTGTTAGTATTTTGAAAGTGGCTTATTAATATGAAATCATGTTTAGTTCAGCAAAAGATATGTTCGTCTATTTATATTTTCCCACTTTATTTATTTTGAATATAAGAATCTCGCATGTTGCCTTCCTTCAACTGGATTACAGGATTGATTGATTTTACATAATTATAACATAACAAATGTAACCGGAATACAATATTCAGTAGAAATTTCTTTAAACATCTGTAAGAAGCCATGAATTTAGAACATTTTAGACCAATGAAATGATTTATATTGGTACTTGTTTTTATACTTTATGATAATAATGTAATCCCAATTACGAATTAAAAATTAATAGCTCTACTTAGCAGTATTAAGCATATTTATCAGAAAGGGTTTTGTGGAGATTTTAGAAATTTCACTGATTCACATCATAAGTGCGGGATCGTGGATGCGCACCGCTGAGGAGTCCCATACTAAGACGAAACAGTCGTTCAGTGCTTCCAGGTTTTCCATGGTGGTCTAGCTTGAATTGAATCATGATTTCAATCAGTTAAGCATATTTAGTTGGAAATAAATATGGCTTATAAATTTAAAAAAAGTTATCCGATGCAAAGAACCTTAAGTTGACTATGATATGTAATATTATTTAAGTATAATTTGCATTGTAAAATAGTTATTCTTTCATTTATTACTAATTCATTTAATTTAGATCACATAACGTTTATTGATAATATACCTTAAAATGTTTGACATTCATTAAACTATTCAATATACTCTAAATTGATTGGTAATGAGTTACATGTCCTTAAATGAATTGAATTGATAAAAATTAGTTTACTTGTCTACATCTGTAAATATACGCTTTACCGATCTCGTTCGAAATAAAACAAAAGATTGTATCCTGATTAAAGGAAAGCATATATAAATGTTAATCTTTAAAGATAACAAGAAAATGAGTATCTAGTATAAACTGATAAATAGTAGTCTACAGAAGGTTCATTTATTATGAATGTACCTTAACGAAATGAATTGAATCTTTCTATTTATATTCATAAAGAAACTAATCATGATGAATTTTTCATTTCTGATTTTATTTTTGTAAACTTCTCTGCTTGAATAAAATGCTCATGATTTCAATCAAAAACCTAACAACCTCCACGACCCCTAAACTGAAGATTATCTATCCTTTAAGGTGGAAACGAAGAAAGATGTAATATTGTAGGTCACTAGATAATGACAAGTTGAGTTACTTTGGGTATGTATATTATAGTATTCAAACTCAAGAGCATAAAAATCTTAGTGATGGTTCTATAGTTAGATTCTTATTTAAATCATCTATATATTATTTCAAATAGGAGTGTGACTTTTAGCGTCATTCAATAAGTGTCATTTTGTTCATCCTATTCACTATGTTTTTGATTGATTGCTTCCAAAAATGAAAATAAAAGCATCCATCAGAGCTAAAAATGTACTTCAACTTTAAAATTCACCTTTTCCATAAGATGCTGTCGCTTTACCATCCAAACGTTTCTAAGTTATATGTCAAAGTCGTGTTTCATCTTAAATAAAACAGAAGTGTTTATTGTCCTTAGTATCTTTAAGGGTCAGAGCTTTAATTTATGATTTTATACCAAATTTGTCAATCACCAATGTGTCCCTTTGTATGGAGTGAATATGTTCTGCTTATCTGCGCATTATGTTTACGATCAATCTTAAGTAATTATCTGTGTGGTCGTTTGCTACATGACAGTATTTGTAATTTGAGAATGATAAGTAATGAAGTGTTACAGGAATCAGAGTTGGTAAGAAAAAAATGTTTAGTCCAAACAATGGGTACGGGGAAGCTACTTCCTGAAATCTCAATCATTATACCTTTTGTCAACTAGCAATATTTGTGTTACGGACTATATTTCTATCTGTCTGTCAGCAAAAGAGCATTCAGCAAAGCAATTGGCTATGTGCTAGTTTACACTTGGTAACGAAAATGTGTAAGTAGTGTCTATCAATTTACAGGTGAACTTAGTGATGGAATCACCTAGTAGACAAAGCCTATGTTATGTGTAATTATGACTGATTGTTTGGTAATACAGTGACTGCCAAATGTTCTATGTTTGCTTATCCCTCCTCCCGTTCTGATTCATCGCATTGCATGACATTGGGCTGCAGAAAAGATACAGGATGTCATATCAGTACATGTCGACTGTCTATGGTATTACTGTCCTTTGGTTTAAACCATTTGAGAAGTTTAAGACTTCCGTATCCATGAGACATTTTTAGTCCATGATAGACCTTTGGTGAGATGAATAAATATTGGTCTTAGCCAAACAAATGGATTGATCTATTGTTCATAGCTAATTCTTCAACATAATTTTATTTCATATTTGTCAATAAATGGTTACATTTTGTCATATGACTTTGCTTTGCTTTCAAATTGATATTATTGTTTGCACTGATATATATACTTCTATGAGATTCTTCTCGACAGTTGTTAGAGAGTTTATTATAGCTTGAATAACGATTCATTTTTGTCTGATTGTTTCATGTCTTCAGTTGTTCGTCTCTCTGTATTCTAATGTTACTGAACAAATCAGAACACTCGTGTTGGAAAATACCTGTAGTGAAGTCTTATAAAGGAATATGGTTTATAATTATGGTAATTTGAAATTAATTTTCGTAGAAGCGGTTTTTTCAACACATTATTTCACTATCTCAGTGATGTTGTCCGACACCGGATTTTCATCATTATATTTGTGGTTTACCTGAAAATATTCTCAATCACAGGCTCTTTCAGAAAGATCCGCATATTCATATGTCTTCTGAAAATTTTAGTAAACTTGTTTTTTTTAAGCTGAGCTAAGATTTGTCCAACAAATGCACTTAGAAGAATGAATTAATTTATGAAAAGGTAGAAGAGTATTCAATGTTTTCTACAAAAAATATTGGGGTATACATAAATTATACTTTTCAATAATCTAAATTCGAGATGATTTATGTGATATAGATTAGCTGCAACAATCAAAGCCACGTTATTTAGTTTATCTTAATAACGAATTGTATGCACAACCAAATTCTGTAAATCTGGAACTCTTGGACATGCACGGAATGAATGGTACGTCTTAGCACCAGACAAATCAAGAATTCTTATAAAAGTGACCATTAAATGCTATCATCTAGATAATCAATATAAAATAAAACAGTTATCGAGGTTTAATGTGTCCACATTGTGGATCACTTCACCGTTAATGTTTGCAATTCATATCTTCTTATAAAAGCTAGTTGAGTCACTACACAAATCATAATGCGTATATTCATATAGCTATTTTATGTATGTAGTGATTTTCTCATTACAATAGTACTATTTATACAATCTTAATCTCAATGAACTCTTAAGAAAACTTTGCGCTGAGTACGTCCAGTTGCAATCAATCATTTTATGACATTTACATGAAATTGGCGTTGATTGTACTCTCCAAAATGCCGGTAAAAATTTGGAATCAAACCATTTAGCACAGAATACACGATACAAACAGAATCATCCAACTAAGCTGCTAAGCTTATCTGTCACTTCAAAATTAATTCACCCTACGAAATCAGTAAGTTGATTATTTTTAACCACTTGGTCGCAGGTTTAAACCCAGTTACACTTAACTAGGTTAGGGTAGTCTAATAATTTCAGTAATACAGGTATATGAAGACTTACATTGTTACAAGTAATTTAGTAAAACATGTATCATCATTTAATTTTCCCTAGAAGTAAAACTCATGATAACACAAGTTAGGTACTCCATGATTTTATAGTAAACCATTGAAAACTTGGAGATTTATCATGATGGATAGCTTTATATCATTAAACTAACAAAGAAAAAGACAAGACAAACAAATAAACACAATTATTATATAAATGATACAATTAATTATTTTAAAACTAATAATACAATCATCTTGCATAGTTCACAGTTTATTTGTCATTTGAATTAGTTGTCTATTTGGTTGGTTGGCTTTATTCTTTGCACCATTTTAATCTAACCAGATTTGAATAAAAGTACTGCACGATCATCTAAGTAGAAATAGATGAAGTTATTCGTCTCGTGGGTTACGTAACTTTAGGAAAAGGAACAGAAAAATAAAAAAGGATCTTTAATATCTGTGTGGATATATAGTTTAAGTATAATTTATGTTGATCCATCGTTACAAATATCGATTGTTTGATGCGTAAGGAAAATGAGTTATGCTTATCTAAAATATAATGAAATCTAACAGATCTTAAGTCATTATACCATACAATAATAATTATTGTCAGATCGAAAATTAAAATTTTTAACAGCTAACCTTCCAAAATTTCGTCCGACTATGCAGTGCCATACAGGATTATATTTTATATCAAATTCTTTCTTGACATATTCTGCTATATGCATTTCCAATTCATATTTATCCAGTGCATCACTTGTTACATCTATTGCATCCTCTTGCATTTTAGTAGACATATTAGTATTCTTAATCACAGCTTTATGTTCAATCATATTTTCTAAAAGGTTGTATAGTGTTTGGTAGCTGATTTGATTTATTCAACTATGCACTAAGTTGTTTAGTATATATATATATTATCTTATCCATTTTGATATGACTGAATTTTCAGTGTGAGATTTGGTCTCATTTGTTCCGGTTTACTTCACGTGTTATAAACATTTAGCAGTGAATTCTTTTAAACGGAACAGGTAAATTCTTATCCTCGATTGGTCTATGATTATTGGTTCCCGTATATTTAAATATGTTTATCATATATACACTGATTGTTTTAGCTCATATTTCAAGATTCTGTAAACATAAAATGTGTCATATGCTATCATTTTATTTCTCAGTGAAGACCATGATAATTTACGTATTTTCAAATGTATGTGTATTGTTAGCATAATTGGACTTATTAATAAGTCTTTAGATCTGTTCAGAGAAATGAACTTATTCAAATAATATGTAAGATCTTAAGGTTCTTACTTAGATGTACATCAACATATATGTATACGACATCACTGTAAGAGGACAAAATAAATCGTCTACTGGTGCATACTGGTGAATACAATCTGTAATATATAATTTACGAAACAAATCTTTGACAGTTGTAATTAATACTATAATAATAGGCATTTTTCAATGTCACACACTCGTAATTATTTTATCTTGATTTATACTTTGACTTCCAAAAAAAACATTCGGTTATTAAACATGTGAGAAAATCAATGAATAACTATGATACACCATTCGCGAGGGAATTCTCGGAGTCCTAGTGAGAAGCCGTGACCAGTAGAGCTAGTCTGTGTCGGTTAGAGACAGGTATCTACCACAGTACAATGGAAGATGGTTGCTCAGTTTCGTGAATTGGTTGAGGTTAGACATTAACACCATTGGATGCCGGCTCAGTAGTCCAGTAGGTTAAGCGTTCTCGCACGACTAAAGATGCTGGCTTCGAATCCTGCGAGCGAGATCGTGAATGCGCACTGCTGAGGAGTCCCAAAATAGGACGAAATGGCCGTCCAGTGCTTCCAGGTTTTCAACGGTGATGTAACATCAATCTGTTCATGATCTCAATCAAAAACGTAATAATTTCCGCAACCCTCATACTGATAATTCAAAAAAGATTATTTTATTGTTCAAAGAAAATATAAAAACAGCTTAACGGTACTCATTTATTTCATAGAGTTTTAAATCTAAACAAACAAACTTGTTGTGCAAGTACATTTTCATTATAAGCATAAATTAACCTTCATACTATGGATCAAATACCCCAATTATAGTTCAACTATCTTACAATAATAATTTAAAAAGAAAAAAATAATGTACTTAGACTAATTAACTATTGGATAATATTTACAATTAATAAGTAGTCAATGAGTAATTTCTATCATAATGGAGATGTTGAATTCTTTATTGTTTATTACTACATATAAATGAGAGGATGATCAGAAAACTTGTATTAATATTAAAACTAAATACGATTATACTGAATGAAACAATCGAAAGATTTACATTAAGTAAATGTAAAATAGTTTTCTTTTCATATATTGGTATTGTTTTACTTGTATCTTCCGATCGTTATTTAAGATTGCGGTTGATCAGTACGGTACTGGGTTCGAGTCCCCGAATGAACATCAACTCTGCGATGCAGGCACATCCAGCTGACGAGTCCCAAATAGGACGAAATGCGCATCCTGGATTCGATTGCTAGCTACTATCCATCTTTGCTTCAATTGACAATTAGTTTTTTTAATTCTTATCTTAAGTACTTTAAGTTTATTACTGAAGATGTTTAAATTATTAAGTTATCAAATATAATAACCCTTATATTGACGATTGTTTTATTCAGGCATAGATTAGTATAATTGAAATCAAGTTTAATTTTTTTTAGATAATATTACTAGTATTTGCAACTAATAATATTTTTAAAGAAGCTTCTTTTATACTACTTAATAAATGAAGAATAATAAGTACTTATTTTTATTCAAAAATTAAAATGATTTTCTATGTGCAAAACTTGTAGTGTTAATTACTATGTTAAGCCCGTAAAACATATTCTAGGTTCTGAACAGGCCAATTTAACCATTGTTCTGCGGTGACGTTCTGATCTGGTTAATTATTCACTTATCAACCCTGACTGTTTTTATATGAGCGTACGTGTGTGTATACTTCTTATTCTATTCATCACATATGTTAAATTGATTTTATCTGGCCATAAAGATTGATTACCACTTGATTAAATGGGAGTTGGCTCACATGCCTTCTCCACAGCGTATTCTTTCGTTTCACTTCGCTTTTTGATCTTCACTTCATTCACCACGATTCTCTGAATGTTTGTTCCAATCAACAAATGTACAAAATATCTGTATTCAAAAATTCATTCTCGTATTCAACTTAATTAATTCCGTTATTCACCAACACGATTTAACTCGATGAAATATACAAGGATAGCCGACTTGTGTATGTCGATGACAATCAACATACTATCTAATTGGAGTCAGATACCAGGACACAAAAAAACTAAGCATTTTGTTCCTCAAACAAGTTTAGGTTGTGTTTTTTTATTTCAGTAGAAAGATTTTGAACTTAATCATCATTTAGTAGTACCGAAACAACAATTGACAACACCAACTGTGAACTACTTACTTTAGTTCCAATGAACCTAGAGATATTAAATCTAAGATTGCTTCATCACTCATATATTTGCACAATAATGTCTCACATTTACGAGAGTCCCATTTCCAACAAAGTTCTTTATCCATGTACGTTATGCTTTATTGTATGTAACATTAAAAACTAATAAATCATTTATTACACTAATTAAAAATGTTATCTCATATTCTTTCTCTAAATACTTTTATTTATGGTCATGATCATGTTCAGTTTCATGAATAAGACTCCCATCAAAGAAGCATTTCAATATAATTCTGATAGCCTGTTTTGTTTACATAACTACCGATCTTAGATACTAAACTAACTGTTGATCAAGAATTTGACAAGCTACATGAAACACATTTTGTATAATTATGGCAGTAGCCTATTAAAGATTTTAAAAGTTATTTAATACAAAATACAGTTATTTGTTACATGGACTAATCAAAATCATTCTATTTCCTTTGTGTCAATTCATCACTCTATTATAAAAAGCACTTATCAAATTATAGTTAAACTAATAAGTAAACATGTAGAACAATTTATAGTTACCTTCCAAAATGTTTTCCAACTATACAATGCCAATTCGGTGTGTATTTACGATCAAATTCTTTTTTAATATAAGCAGCAACATCTTTTTCAATATCATATTTATCCATTGCAGCTGATGCTACATAGACTGCATCATCTTGTACAGTTCGTTCCATATCAGCATTTTTAATGACAGCCTTACGTTCTGACATGATTGTCCTAATAACTTATTATGTATTATATTGTAATGATAAAATATTATGTTGTATTTATACTCTTAATCAATGAGTATCAATTGATTATTGGTGTAAAATATCTAATCTTAAATTAAAATATAACTAAGGATAATGTTAATTATGTCATTAGTACAGAGAAAAAGAATTTCATTCAAAACTAAAACCTTCAAATATTACAAGTAATATATAACATGTATTCATATATTCTCATGGTAATATAATAAAATAACGAATAGCATTACTGATATTATTGCATAATATAGATAATGATAATCATAGTTTCAATGGTAATAATCATGATAATAGCTGTAGGAATATGAACCACATGATATTGAGGTGAAATGTTTCAAAATTTCAAAAGATTATACTAATTAACAAAGATCTAATGACAACCAGGAATCTGTTACTTTCTTTGAATAATCTGAATTACAATGAGAGAAGAAAGAAAAAAAAATAGGGTACTATAAACTTTTTTTGTTATTGTCATAACAATTAAGAAAATCTAGTTTACTGACAAAATAAATTTTACTGTATAAATGAGTGATTTGTAATGAATGTAAATGTATTCTTGTCATTGAACAATATCATTTAGAATGTAAATTGAAACATTTCATCAGTGAGAATTTACGATACTACTAGATATTGTAATAAAAATTTACAGATTTTTAATAAGAAGGATTTAGTTTTATGTAGTTGAATAAGAATATAGTAATCTATATCTTAAAGATTAGACAAAGTTTGTTAAGTAACTTAGGTAGTATCATCGTCTGAAGCCCCATCTGGAGCTACTGCCGGTCCCAAGTTTGAATAAAGGAGGAGGGTTGAATATGGGGTTAGCGACCCCATCCCGTAGAAAACTAACTCACTAAAAAGAACTCTAACCAGAAAAAAAATTATTCATTTTGTAAATTAAGTAGTAACAACAATTAAATCGATTCACACAAATATAAAGGATTAATTTATTGAATATCTCAAATGGTTTGTCAGGAGATATTTATGGCGATATGCTTCTAGGTAATTGATATCATTGGTCTTTAGATTATGAAGATAGTTGTTTCAGATAAGTGCGAAACAGTTTATTTTTATTGTCCGCTTGGTTTATTAAGGGATGTAAATAAATATATTCCAGTACAAACTATATCATTTCAGACTAGCTGAAAAAGTTATGGTCGAGTTCATTCACAAAGCCATCAGCATTTAATTAACAAGCTTATTCATAATAATATGGTATTACATTGATACATGTTTTAAACTTAATATCTATTATGTACTTTACTAATATTAAGCGAAACATTTTCTATTCTAACCTTAATCTTATGCACATATGAGGTCATACCATGAGAAAAATATATTAAGGACAGAATTATAATTGATCTAGTTTAAGTGGTTCACATACAAAGCTACTTCAGTTTAGTGAAACACGCGGACTAGTGTTTCTCAAAATCTATTAAGAATAAACATTACACTGATAATGCTATTACGTTTCAAGTATTAAAGTGTAGTAATACGGGTAAAAGATATATCGAAAATTGCAATTATAAACCATTTTTATCATGGTTAGATATAACTATGGTTGATGTTAGACACTATAACCATTGAATACCGGCTCAGTGGTCCAGTAGGTTAAGCGTTCGCGCGCGAGACCGAAGGCCCTGGGTTTGAATCCCGAGAGCGGGATCGTGGATGCGCACTGCTAAGGAGTCCCAAAATAGGACGAAATGGCCGTCCATTGCTTCCAGGTTTCCAAAGGTGGTCTAACATCAATCTGTTCACGATCTCGATCAAAAACTTAATAACCTCCACAACCCCTATACTAATAACTATAGAAATTTGATTCATGTTCCACTAAGTAGATTCAAATATATTGTTGAAGAAAATAAATAACGATGGGATAAGTAAATTGTGTTATTGAAGAGACAGTTAATTGTGTCCTTTCAAACTGACGTTGCCAAAGAGAAATTGTAATCTTACTGGCATTAGTTTGATAAATTCTAAATAAATGATAACCATTTCAATATTTTACCCTTTTTCAACATTTACCTACACGATTTATAAACATACTCTTTTTTTCTACAGACTTCTGTATCACTAAACTAATACCTGAGATAGCAGAGAAGATTTGTAGCACAGGTAGATTATTTTGGCGTTGTTTTGTTTTCTTAGCTCGATGGTTTGGTCGTGAAACTTTCATCGTTCTTCTGAACAACATCATAAGCACAAACTTCAAGTAGAAGTGAAGTATTTTAATCTCTCAACATACGACTCACAGCTTGTCTTATCTACCTCGATCATGAGCGGTTATTGTTGATCCTAACCAGTGACTAAGCGAAAACTTTAAGTTCGTTATGTGGATGACACGTTTTTCATCGTCATAAAAGACGAGCTAGAATACATCTGAAATGTGTTCGATGACACAGAGTTTACAATGAAACAGAAGTAAAACAATAAACTATAATGATTGGATGTATTGATCACCAGAACCGATACAGGAAAACTAGACACCCAAGTATATCAGAAGCAGACCTGGTTGGTAAGATTGTGGCTTTCAGTCTCTGAATGACTGCTTCTGCAATAAATCCTGATATTGGTAATCCCAATGGTGTTCTTTTCGTTTATTCGTAAATCTTATTGGTGAAGTGAAAATATGTTGTTAAACAAATATCGATACATTCGATGCAATCAAAATAAGGAAGTAAACAATGACAGGTTAAAGGTCAACAATAACCATCTAGATCGATAGGACAAGCTGTGAATCATAAGTGAAGAAATTCGAACACTTTATTTATTCGTCTTTATTTTTAGCTTTGTTCAATATCATATTTTTGGTACAATATAGAATTGTAAGCAAAAATTACTTCAGAGTTTCCGTTTCTTACTTCTTGATCGATATTGACGATAAATATTGAGTGATCGCCAGTTAGATATTACCATTTCAGAAGTCGATATTTGAATAATATTCATTCCTTCCAATCTATATCTTCAAACATCACGATGTCTCCGATCGTACGTTTTTGTAACTTGTACGGTGACAGGTTGTAAACTTTTCAGAAACACACCTGAATAGGTTATGCAAACAATTGACATAATGATTTGTTAAAATAAACAAAAAAACAGATAACTTGTTGAAATATCCAGATGGCAGGAACAAGTAGCCCAGATATTCAAGCATGCTGCCTTCTACTTGAAGTTTGTGCTGATGATGTTGTTCAAAAGAACAATGAAAGCTCTACAATTAAGCTTTCCAGCTCTGAGGACAAAAAGCTAATTCCTTCATTTTTCAGTTCGTTCTCATCTTATAGTACATGTATTGTCATTATCGAAATGGAACACAATATTGGTTTAATTACATTTTTAAACTTTTGACCCCCTAATATCTTAGCGATGTTAATAACCACTCACTCCTGAAGTTTTCTAATTGCCTTAAACTATCATCATTGCTTTTATTATTTGTTGATTCACTTTATCACTTTACAAATGTTTCGTGTAGTAAATATAACTGTATACTAGATGGCTCTGTTTAGCTGAATTTCTTTGCACAATAACTGTGATTGAGATGCTAAAATTTGGATTAAGGTTTACTGAAGTTAAAAAATGGGTTCATGCTAAGATACTTTTTCCTTTTTTTGTGTAATGTAACTTAGAAGAAATCATGTTTGCCAACAGACCCTCACAATCTTCATGTTAAAGAGCATGTTACCGTGGACTTTTAAGATCATTACTTTGGCCCCTAAAATTATGCTATCTGTGACATCCCGAAGAAGATAATGAAAGATAACCGTCGAGATTTATTTATGGACTAATACCATACACATATTTTTGTCGTATGATTGTTAAGTTACTAAACTATGTTTATTGATATTCCTATTCTTATGAGCTTTATTTTGACCCGTAGACAACTATTATACGATTGACTATTCTTACGTTAATTATAGTCTCCCACAATCCCAATCACTTTCTAGCTTGACCATGTACAAAATTTGTTTTCTATTTATGGTATGATGTGGTCTGTTTGGCTTGTATATAAACTGAGAATGTATGAAATATATCCACCAACAACGGAAGAAATCAGAATGACCATCAGACAAATCAAGAGCGGTAAAGCAGCAGTACCCGACAATATACCAGCTGAAGCACTGAAGTGAAGAATCAAAGTAAATACAAACATGCTTCATCTTCTATTCAAAAAGATTTTGGAGGAGGAACAAGTGCCGAAGGACTGGAAAGAAGGACACCTCATCAAGATTCCAAATAAATTAGATCTAGGAAAATGTGAAAAATACAGAGGCATCACACTACCGTCAGTACCAAAGAGTATTTAACAGAGTGTTGTTGAACCGGATGAAAGATGCAGTAGACGCCCAACTTCGAGATCAACAGCCTGGATTATGTAAGGATCGGTAGTGCACAGACCGACCTGCGATACTACGGATCATCGTCGAACAATCAGTTGATTAGGAAAAGGCATTTGACAATGTAGATAGGAAAACTGCTATATCCTAGTGAAGATTAAATCACAAGTAACTTCTGAGACATATTAATTGACTAATATTATATATACATTCTTATGGTACAACTATTCAATAATTAGATTATGTATATTTATATTCCTATTATTATAAGCTTCATTTTCCCTATAATTTATTATTGCACGATTTACTGTTCGTAAGCTATGTTCAGTTTACTGACTACTGCCTCTCACGTTCATAGCCACTTTTTGGCTTTATTGTGTACAAATGTTGTTTCTTATTTATGGGGCGTTGCGGTCTGTTGGATTGATATATAACTTCAGTATGTCTGAAATAAGTGATTCGATTCGATTCGCATAGTAGGAGCTGGTATTTGGTGTTCTGGACTCTAGTGGACGGGCTAGGCGGACATAGGACAAATAAGGACTCTAGACTGCCCATACCGGTCGAACATCATTGGTTTGGCACAGTGCGACGATTGTATATGTCGTATTTTGATTGGTGGATAAATCGCGTGATAAAAAGTCGGACATAAAGTCACAACAAGAATGCCATGGAAAATTCTTCGACACTACGGAGTTCCTGAGAAGATTGTCAACATTGTCGGGAACTCATACGATGGACTACAGTGCAAGGTCGTGCATGGAGGATAGCTGACAGATGCATTCCAAGTAAGGACCGGAGTCAGACAAGGCTGTCTACCCTCTACCTTCCTCTTTCTTCTGATGGTCGACTGGATTATGAAGACCTCGACATCTGAGGGAGAACATGGTATACAACGGACAGCTCCGAATCAATTAGACGATTTGGACTTCGCAGATGGCTTAGCCCTTTTATCGCCTACACACAAACAAATACAGATAAAGACAGCCAATGTAGCACCAGTCTCTGCATCAGTAGGCCTCAGCATACACAAAGGGAAAACTAAGGTCCTCAAATTCAAAGCGGAGAACAGCAATCCAATCACACTTGATGGCGAAACTCTGGAAGATGTAGAGTCCTTCACATACCTGGGAAGCATCATCGATGAACAAGAAGGCTCAGATGCAGACGTAAATTCAAGGATTGGCAAAGCAAGTGTCGCAGTCCTACAATTGAAGAACATATGGAACTCAAAACAACTTTCAACTAATATCACGGTGAGAATCTTCAATACGAATGTCAACGCAGTTCTACTGTACGGAGATGAAACTTGGAGAACTAAACAACCACCATCAAGAAGGTACAAGTATTTATAAATAGTTGTCTACGCAACATACTCAACACCCATTGACTGGATCCCATCAGCAATAGCCTTCTGTGGGAGAGAACAACCCAACTTCCAGCTGAAGAGGAAATTAGGAAAGGACGATGGAAATGGATAGGACATACACTACGCAAATCATCAAACTGCATCACGAGGCAAACCTCAATATGAAATCTTGAATGGAAGCGGAAAAGTGGAAGGTCAATGAACACATTACGTCGGGAAATAGAAGCAGATATGAAAAGGATGAATAACAACTGGAAGGGGTTGGAAAGGATTGCCCAGGACAGTTTTGGATAGAAAATGCCGGTGGGTGGCCTATGCTCCTTCTCGAGGAGTAACAGATGTTAATAAGTAAGTAAGTAATATTTCAAATATATGAGTCATATCGTCGTGGCTGAGATTGATGTTCTAGACTTAACAACCAGGGCTAAACGGGAAAAGGACCAATCAGATATCTAGGCCGTTCGTTCAGGTGTATGCGTCAGTTGTTGGTCGTATAAATATGCGTATATGAATTTAGAAATCGTAATTTCGCGGTAATCGTGTAAGCAAAGGCCATAACATTATCTACTAGAACAAAAGTCAGTTCTCAGTTTATTGGGCCGAGATAAGGGTAATCTCATTTCAAAACTGTTACATTGTTAAAGCAACTTTCGAATTAATTTCTGTTGAAGTGTAATCGTGGTTCTATTAATAAGAATATTAATTAGCTATAATAATTGGATGAGTGGCATGAAATCTCAATTTTAAAGTTCAGTCAATTTTTGAGATGTTAACTTCCCAGAGCACTCATTGCATTAGATATTTTTGGATAGCTGACCCTTAAAAACTCACTAGGTTGAAGATGAATAACGTGAACACTCTTTCACTGTTCAACAAAGTCAGTTATTTGAAAGTTACTTTTGCGGATCACTTAAAATGAGTAGGTGCTAGTTGCAGTGTATAAGTATGATACAATTATTATTAGGTGTGATTAGAGACGTATACAAGATTTACTCAGCTTATTTATGGTAACTTTGATCATCATCAAATGCTTTGACATCATATGATTTCATAGTCTTATTGTTTCGAAATAACAGTAAAGGCAATTTTGTTTACTGAAGGTTTTCTTTCAATAATGATATGCAAACTTGATAATGAATATTAACAGATATCAGAATGTTCTACTTAATTTCAAACACAAACTGTGTCTACTGAATAATTTGTCAGTAGGCAGTAACTTATTTAGTTTTGTTTGCAACACTATGAATTAATCACAAGACATCCAACAATTTTTATGATCACAACATTAAACTAACCGGAAATTTAAAGAATCTTATTTTACGAATTTTTCCTGTGTGGGTTTATCCATCAATAATTAGTCTGGCATAAACGCTATACTATAAAAGTCAATAGCTGTGTATGCGGAAAACACCAAAACTTCGGATTCATAGCTGTTTTTACAAAAGGAGAATGGATTTTAATCAAGAATAATCATTATTTCAGTTGCTTGTAATATGCTTTATACTTTGAAAATTCAATTGCAGAGATTCCTCAAGTTAAATCACATATAAACATTGAAACTATAGAGTAGTAAAATACGCTCAACGATATCATGTTGTTTACTTAAGTTTGTATACAAATGCTATCTTTACAAAATGACCCGGCAATCAAACTATTAATTCTGTTTTTGATTGAAATCATGGGTCAACTGAAGTTCGACCACGATGGAAAACCTGGAAGCACTGGACAGGTAAAAACAGGTGCCTACTTCAGTACAATGGAAGATGGTCGCGCGATTTCGTAGATTGGTTGAGGTTAGACATTAGCACAACTGGATGCCGGCTCAGCGGTCTAGTTGGTTAAGCGCCTGGCGCAAGACTGATATCGTAGAGGGCAAGGTCGTGGATACGCTTTGCTGAGGAGTCCCATACTAGGACGAAACGGCCGTCCAGTGCTTCCAGGTTTTCCATGGTGGTCTAGCTTCAACTGACTCATGATTTCAATCAAAAACGTGACAATCTCCACAACCCCTGAACTGATATTAATTCTGTATAAAACAATATATTCAATAACCTAATCAAAGGCCAATAAGCACTCTTTTGATGTTACCGCCAACTGTATCTATAAATTTACGTATACCTGTTAATTCAGTTACACTGGCCGAACAGAAAACAGGCCATATCTTAGATTTTTTAAGCATTTTCCCTAAAGACTTAGAAAAAGAGAAAGAACAACTTTAAGCAATGTAATTATCAAACATCTCTTGTATACAGGACATCAGATCGATACCTTGCAATCTTTCAAGGTGATTATAAGACACAAAAGCCCGAGTCTTCTGAAATATTCAGAAACCGTTCCTGTCATGCTTCGAAAATCTGATTAATGTGTTCAAAAATAGATAATTATTAATCTTTCCTTGCTTTGGTGATAAATATTCATCATGAAAAAAATTTCCTCATCGTTTCCTTTCATTTACCTAGATCATTACGCCTTTTTAATTCGACTATGTTTTAGATTAGTAATCTTATTTTATTAATTGGGCTTTATTCATTTGATTCTTATCACTTGTTTCTGGCCGTTTGAACTGATGTTACAATCAATGATGTAGAATATTCTTTTACATAAGGTATATATTTATAATATTCAGTTTATTACATTTATTTACACTCTTACTATACGATACTAATATGTCTTCAACATAACTTTCAACTAAACTCTTTCATGTAAATAATTCAAATCCATTATGTAATTATGATTTTAAATATCACAGGATGTAAGCAGCTGATGAGAACCAAATGAAACGAAATGAATATATGCTATTTTGCTAGAATCTTTATTCTATCTCTAATCAAAATAACATAAGTTAGACATAACATAATGTGTATTTTCAATCAATTTGTAAAATAGAATGAGTTACAAATTTGCAACGAAATCAATAAACAACATGTGACAGGAATTATAAAGTACAAAGCCTTAGTAACTTGAAAATTCTCAAAGTAAAATGATTTTGAAAGGCTACAAATGAAGTACATTTAATCCGAATATGAATTAGTTGTTTGTTTGTTTTTTTTTTAAAAAAAATTGATTTAATTATATCTAAATAGTAAAATAAATGTATCCTTTGCACGTAAAAGAATATATCGTGATAATTCAAATTCTAAAGAACTGTAAGAATGTATAATTGCATTATTAAATGAACTTACCAATCGAAATGTTTCCCAACAATACATTGCCAATATTCTTGATAATGTGAATCAAATCTAACTTTTATATAAGTAGCAACTTCTCTTTCTTCTTCATATCGTTTCATAGCTTTTTGTACAAGCATTTTTACATAACATTGCATTTCATTTTGTATATTACATTTTATTATTAACATATCCGATTGTTTTATTCCAACCATTACAGAAGATTAAACATAAAAAAAATAAGTCATATATGATTTTATATATGTACTTAGTAAGAAAATAGAAATTTATTAGACCTTATATTATTGACTAATTTAAAACTATGTGTAGCTGAGAAAAGACGCTATTGATTAACTATCCATCTTTGGTTGTACATAGAAGTAATTCTTCACGCTTTAAATGATCTATAAAAGGTCATCTGTGTTTCTTTCTTTCGGTTAAAATTTCATTGTGTTCAACTATATTCTTAAAGTTTTGAAAATCCATGATGTATTGATCTTGAAATACACCATTTAGAATTTTATACATAATGATATTATGTCCGCTTCATTTTATACTCCTGTAAATAGCAACCTATTCTTAATAATAGTTTTAATAATTATATTATGTCTTGAATGGGCTCGGACCCAGGACCTTAGGTCTCATAGGCGAGACCGTGTCTGCCTCTGAACTACTGAGCCGGCATATAACAGTATTAATATCTGACTTCAACCAATCCACGATATTGCGCAGCCGTCCACCATTGTCTTCAGTAAGTAACTGCCTCTACAACAGACCCGGTTGAACTCCACTTGTTACTGTTTATCACTAGAATTCCAGGAAATACCTCTTTAAGCCAGTCACTAGTAAGCATATAATGGTTATTATCATTTTGCTTGAATCGAGTTATGTAACTTATCATTTATCAGCATATAATAACATGATAAATAATAGATTTGTTAATTGTATTTATTTTATTTTAAATATATAGTTAGAATATCTTCAAAGATCACTTTATCTTAGTATTATCCTCATGTTTTCTTTATTATATTCGCGTTCTTACTGTAGATACTACACAATTGAAACATACTTTGTTATTCATAGTGCAAAGTGGGAACACAAAAGATTAGCACAACTAATATTTATTTATTGATTTACCAAAGATATAACCTCCAAATAAGACCATACACACGATGATAAAATCTGAGATCAATATTATAATTATGTAAGAAAAAGTCGTTTTTTTTTTTTCTAAATCAATTAGTTGACGTTGGTAGATTCATCATTTACCATTTATCATTCAATACAATTATATAAATCATTCCAATGTGAATCATCTTTGTTTATTATCAAGTGCATTCCTTAATAAATTGATACACTACAAACTGAAAATTATCACATATATTTAGATATAAAATATGTCATATTTAATGAGTAAATTTTACCGGTTGTGCAAAATTATTGATTTAAGGTGATGAACTCTTAATGAATAAAAGCAAAACTATCAAACTTCGTATGTATTTTTTTTAAAGATGTATTATCATCAAATATGTTGTATAACTAATTATGAATTTCAATGGTTAAGATCATGAGTCAGTTGAAGCTAGACCAGCATGGAAAACCTGGAAGCACTGGACAGCCGTTTTGTCCTATTATGGGACTCCTCAGCAGTGCGCATCCATGACTTCGCCCCCTACGAGATTCGAACCCAGGACCTGCTGGTTTTGAGCGCGAGCAGTTAACCACTAGACCGCTGGGCCGGCATCCGACGGTGTTAATGCGCACTGCTGAGGAGTTCCACAATAGAATGAAACAGCCACCCAGTGCTTCTAGGTTTTCCATGGTGGTCCAGCTTCAACCGACTAATGATCTTAACTATTGAAATTACTGCAATATCCACAAAACCCATCTGATATTAATTATGAATGGTTTTCTGAATGATGAAGAATACTATCAATGAATGTACACAACCAATTATATTAAAAAATTGTCTATCAATTGTAACTATGCAAAAAAACTGCAATTTTTAAAACTTTTACAATTAATTAGCAACAATTCTACTATGATAGTTGTAGTTAATAGACAAAATAAATCCAATGATGTTTCTTTAATTATTTTTATAAAGATGTAAACAATTATGTAGGTAATCATCTAGAGAAATTAGTTATTTTATCTTAGTTTTATATAAATACACTCATTTTTATTAAAGGAAGACTTCCTTCACATAGAAAAGATAATCTTTTTAAAACCATTAGTATTGTTATATCCGAGCAAAGATTAAATCACGAGTAACTTCTGAGACATTTTAAATGACTAATATTATATATACATTCTTATGGTACAACTATTCAATAATTAGATTATGTATAATTATATTCCTATTATTATAAGCTTCATTTTCACATATAATTTATTATTGCACGATTTACTGTTCGTAAGCTATGTTCAGTTTACTGACTACTGCCTCTCACGTTCATAGCCACTTTTTGGCTTTATTGTGTACAAATGTTACTTCCTATTTTCTCGTGCGTTGCGGTCTGTTTGATTTATATATAAACCCAGTATGTCTGAAATAAGTGATTCGATTCGATTCGCATAGTAGGAGCTGGTATTTGGTGTTCTGGACTCTAGTGGACGGGCTAGGCGGACATAGGACAAATAAGGACTCTAGACTGCCCATACCAGTCGAAAGTCATTGGTTTGACACAGTGCGACGATTGTATATGTCGTATTTTGATTGGTGGATAAATCACGTGATAAAAAGCCGGACATAAAGTCATAACAAGTATGATGTTTAAATATGATCAATATGTGTAAAGTTCCAATTGTTCCAATTCAATAGCATTAAGTGGATTGATTTCAAGAATACATAGGAAAGATTATTCATTCAAACTAGTGAATTGATAATACTCAAGAACGATAAGATATATTAAAACATCAAAAGTCTTATATTAAAAGTCCTTTCACAGTCACTGAATTTTGTATGGTATTTTGATGGTTAATAAAACCTATTTATCAACTATCCTACAACCAATTTCGATTATGGTTAATTTTAGTTAAGCTCTTCTATTAACTTACTTATCAGACAATGTTATTCGAACAGTAACAATTCACAGATTTCTTTATACTATTATGATCACTAGATCACATGACAGACTCTAGCTAGAATGTTGATCGCTTGAATATCACTCGATGATTCATCCTTCTCCACATGTATATATGTACTCAAATCCTATTATAGCTCTTATTTGGCCTTGCTGTGCTGTTCCCTTATGCGATTTGACGATACATTTGCCTCTGTATTTGCTTGCACACACATATTCGCCTCTCTGCTTCAAATTCATTCCATGCACTCATAGCTTTGCGATCTGTTTTATCCGCTAATAAACTGTATTTGCCAATTCTGATTTCAAATACTGTTGAAATTTATATCATAACGGTTATAGAGTAATGAAGCAAAACCACTGCAACTGTGTTCGAGAAGAGGAAGATGATAAAATTTACAAAATACGTGAATCCATTTTATTTTGTACGTTCACCTCAGCTTCGTATAAGTTATTAAGTATACTTCAAATATCAACATCAAATGTTTCAAGGAATGAGCTGTTACCAATGATCTGTGAAATTGTTAAGAGGTAGACACTACAATGATGACTAAATTTTCAAGGAAAGTCTTGATCAATAATTATAATGGGGGTTCTAGATAACTGTCGTATAATATGAAGAATATAGAAAGGTACAATTTGAAATTATCAAGTAGTAGACATGATGTCAGATAAGATAAGAACGAACTTTCTAAAGTTTTTCGTTTTCGGTACTAAGACAGTTGAAAGTTAAACACAAACTCGTTTTGAGGTCGTCACATTCTAATCTTCGATTGTCATGATATCTGAGAATTAACCATGTTGTTAATTGGTTATTTTGAATGTAAACTTTGAAGACTTTTCGTCTCTGAAAGGAAGATTCATATACATATGCACAATAAATAGGTAGCAGCCTTTCTATCTCTCTGATATATTCGTATTCACTTGAATGTATACTGTTAAATGCAGTGTCTCTACACTAAGTTCTTTGTTCCTGAAATGTCATAGTGAATACTGTTAAACTAACATTGTTTAAACAAATCAATTAAGCGCTTTATAGTGTATTTGCTTCATTAATCAATCACTTTTGTAACCATTATTATATAAATTCCTCGGTGTTTGAAATCAGAAGGCAATAAAAAGCACCATTTACAGTTTATTAGCGAATAGCTGTAAGCACGTCGAACGAATTTGAAGCAGCGAGGCGAATGTGTGTGTTTGCAATATGATAGTGATCATTTTAAAACACCAAAATAGACGAATTGTTACTGTTCGAATAATATTGTCTGTTAAATAAGCTTAACAAAACTTAATCATAATACAAATTAATTGTAGGAGAGTTGCAATGGCTTATAGCTTTCGCATTATTTACTAGGTGACGAGTTTTAAGTAACATTTTATCCACAAAAAGATTTTTCGGGAAATAAATCGTATTATTTTATTGAAATTTTTCAGTAGTTCAAAAGTCAGCTTGTTCCCTGACTAAATTTTTTTATCTCGACCGTTGTTGCTACCTTGATGAGGTGGTCAGGCTTGCTTATCGTGATGAACCAATCGAGCTATACTGGCTGGAACAATCGTATATCAAGGTTCTACCATGCCAGACAGGTAGATTGAAGAGGAGTAAGAGGGGCATATCGTACTACTGACTGTACAAAGATGTGACGGCAGTAAGGTGTTTCCTTCAGACAACCAGCATAACAGGGTCGCTGCCTTCCCACAAGGAAGAGTGGGTTTAGAAAACGCTGACCCTAAAAACGCAAACCTCATGTTATCTCACGGATTTCCGTCCCCAGAAGTAGGGTCTTAACAAGTACGTAGCTTACACAAAAATTACCCATAAAAAGGTCATGTATGATCGGCCACAAGCAGTTGTCCTTAGGCACTGACGTCACATTCTTAGGTCACTAAGACCACTTATAAGCCAATTTCGTTTACAGGTACCTCTAGAGAAGCCCTCCCACGGTTTGAGGGACCAGGAAGTGAAAACCTCCATCATGCCTCTAGTAACACTCAAGATGACTGTACTGATAACCAATTTCTCTATTAAATTTCTTCCATTATTTTTAGGCTTCATTCAATTTCAATCAATTGTCCGTCAGTCAGTTATAACGTAGAACATGAAACGTATGTTCATCAGTTAATGTTACCGTGCCCCATTAGCACAGAAAGACGAAATTATCAGACCAAATCTCAGAAATGGTAGTTACAGCCTCAATAGTATATAAAAGAGTAGGCAAAATATCGATTAGTGAAATCAAAACAAAGAAAACCGTTAAGAGGAGACTAAAAGCCCAGCATTTTGTGGAAGAAAAAACGGATGCATCTTGCAAACGATTTTCAATAGTTTCATCCAAAGTTTCTAACCATTAGTTACGATAATAACACGGACCACAACCAGGTAGTCAATACCTAATGACATGAATAAGTCCAATTGTCAGTGAATTCATGGACTGATGCCATATTTTGGTTTGGTCGTCGTTTGCACTCTTCAACATCACCACCGCAACACTTTAATCCGCTTATCGAGGTAGACAGTGGTTGAGCATACATAATATGTCTCAACCTCACCGATCGATTTCCAACCCTTACCCAATACTTTATTCATAAACCAGTCATTGATTTCTCCGTGCTCCCGAAATGCACGAGCAATGCATCGTAGACACGTACGACCAAATGTCAATGACTCACGAATACCTTCTAGTCTTAGTGGTCATGTTTTGCATCCATAATGTAGAATGGAGTTAATTGATGTTCAATAAACTCGTCTTTTGGTTGACTGACTTACATCTCCCCTACATCCAATCTGCGGCAAGTTTGAGTAAGTAATTCGAGCCTTCTATATCTATGCCGAAATCGCGTCAGACAACGGATGAGACTTCCAAATAAGTGAAGTAGTTGATTTGTTCAACTACTTCACTCCCTATAAATAAACCAGGGGATGATGCAAGCCAATCTTGAAGTAACATTTTACATTTGGAAGGGAAGAATCGCATCCCAACCATGCTTGCAATGTTGCTTTAGGTGTTCGGTATACTCTGCACTTTGTCAGCTCCTTCACCGATAGAACAAAACTATAACCTGAGTCAACAAGTGAATCTCCTGGTAGGAGATCTAATCCTGAAAAATCAGGCTATGAAAGTGTTGTTTCTGAAAGCATATCTATGACAACGTTAAGTTTGAGTCGGGAAAGCGGACAAGCCTGACGAAAACTACTCGGAGTAACCAATTTCTATGACAGCTTGCTAAAAGCTCTGACTGGAGTAGAGATCATGTTTAGGTTTTCGTACTTCTTGGGACGCTTTTCAATAACACACACTCCCACAGAATTTCACGATAAGTGGAGTCGAACACTGCCTTAATGTCGACCAATACAACTATGGTTGAACGTCGAACAGTGTGTCTACGTTCCATAGTCTCAAGAAAACAGATGCACCTACTGTGTTGTAACTTTCATCTTTATTGAAATATATAAATAAATTTGAAGTCATTTCTCACTGAAAACTATTGCCATTTGAAAAGCTATCAACATTCAGATAGCGTTCAGCAGCTATTATGCCTTATTTTTAAATGACCATGAACTATCTCACTCGGAAAGTTAGTCAAATGATTAGTGAAGGAAAGCAACTAGTAGTAAAACGCACGAATGTATTCTGCATTTTTAAGATGCCATTTTTTGAATATAGTTCATTGAGATTCATCTGAGGTCTAGAACTTTATTTAATCCTGTTGTTCAACCACCGCCTTTGAATTATTTAAAATATATTTCGTACACCTACTGGAGATAACAAACAACACTTGATAACAATAATGATGACCATATATACCAAAAGGATTCTCACTTTATGTTTAGCCTCCAGGTGACCAATACAGATAAATAAACAACTGAAGACGTCACAAGTAAGCAGAGGAAACAAATTATGTACATTTAAAATTAAAAATTTTGTTGTCGAGTTATGTTTATCTGTCGAGTCAATATCTAGTTTCCAGAGATGCTCATGGATGATCATAAAACAAATCCACAAGAAGATTTAGGATGAAAACAGAAAAAGTAAATGTTGGGGACGATAGATCCCCAAAACTCAAATTTTGTAATTTACTTATCGATTAAATGTGCAGATAGGTCAATTGATGAACTATCGATTAAATGTGCAGATAGGTCAATTGATGAACTATCGATTAGATGTTCAAATAGCAGTCAATTGTTGATTAATGTTCAAAAATCTTCCTATGACAATATCGATTGTAAATAATTGTATAAATACGCTTGACTTGTATGCTTGATCTGATCTGCCTGCCTGACTTGGTATCTGCTGTTTGTCTGTAGAATACACTTTCTACACCTTACCCAGACTTCTTGATCGAGTTAGCAGAGTTGGGGACAACGGACCAGAATAGACTATCGAGATTCTGAATCCTTGATCCGATCGATAAGTCACACTCCATATAATCGGATCTCTCTTTGAGACATAACAATTGGCGACGGGGTAAAAAAAAACAATCCAAAGTCAGCCTTCAGCATCCAGATTTGTCATCAGTGTCCTTCAGCAACATTGGTCATTAATCAAACAGTAATTTTCATTACCGGTGCTGAATAAAAAAATGACTCTCCCTTCCGATCGAGTACAGCTGCTATTTGAAAGACAGTTGGAGTTTTTAGTCAAATTACGCACGCAGCTGTTAAATCACTCATGCTTTGGCGATGCAACGGAAGTGGATGGATTGATCTCTCAACTGCACACAGAGCTGGAAAATGATTGCAGCCCCAATGAATCCCCGATAAACCGTATTTCAAACGGTACAACAGTCACTCAAGATTCGCCCAGTGGTCCAGTCCTCTCCATTCCAGAAACATGCCCGGTAATGGACTCAAACTCCATTATCCCCAAAACAGCATGTGCAGACGGTGACTTATCCAGCTCACAAACACACTCCCTGGTAAATGCTCACAGAATCGTCGCAATAACCACCCATGAAACAGAAAACAAATCGAGCAGTACACTGAATACAACTGCTTTAAATGGTTCTCATCAGTCTGCGACAGATGTTTTTGACAAATCTTATTATCAAGATTCTCTCTTACCAGAAAATATGTCAGATGCATCAAATGATGATCAAAAACTTAATATAATTTTGATAGATGCTAATTACCTTGATGATCGATTATCTACAAATAAGATTCCAAATAAATTTGGTCACAATATTTCAGAAGAATTAAACTTCGAACACCTCATATCAAGTGTTGTCCAGCCTCAAGACTTAATCACTTTCAGTCAATTCTCTGTTCAGTGCGATAAATATGTCTTAAATAAATTCAAGTTAATTATAACGTGGGCATATGAGGATCCAACACTGTTTCGTGGGGGAGGATGGACCTGGAAAACTTAAAATCCGGATATCAACTCCGGATCTTCTAAAAAGGGGAGGAGTGTTGGGGACGATAGATCCCCAAAACTCAAATTTTGTAATTTACTTATCGATTAAATGTGCAGATAGGTCAATTGATGAACTATCGATTAAATGTGCAGATAGGTCAATTGATGAACTATCGATTAGATGTTCAAATAGCAGTCAATTGTTGATTAATGTTCAAAAATCTTCCTATGACAATATCGATTGTAAATAATTGTATAAATACGCTTGACTTGTATGCTTGATCTGATCTGCCTGCCTGACTTGGTATCTGCTGTTTGTCTGTAGAATACACTTTCTACACCTTACCCAGACTTCTTGATCGAGTTAGCAGAGTTGGGGACAACGGACCAGAATAGACTATCGAGATTCTGAATCCTTGATCCGATCGATAAGTCACTGTCATATAATCGGGCTGTCTCTTGAGCCATAACAGTAAAATGGCTCACCACGATGTTGGATATCAATTAAACTGATTGTTAGTTAACCTGTAGTATCTAGAACTATGTCTAGCCCACGTAGATTATTCTAGCTTTTGGACAGACCAATTTATTCATTCTTCTCAAGCCACATTTTGATCTTGTCGCTCACTCGCTTGTTAGTCCTGACTGCTATTATATGATCGTATTATGATTGTATTAACTGTTCACCTTATACATTCTGTTTCTGTACATTATTTTTGTCTGAGTACAATTACTGAGCCACGCTTGATGAAAAAAAGTTGGCTCACTCACCTTCTCCACTGCACGTCACTTCATTTCGTTTCTCTTCACTGATTGTGTTGTTCCTATCTATGAGTGTATGAAATATGCGTAATTCATTCTCGTATTTGGCTTAGTTTAATCCATTATACCCTACCGGGAATTAAGTCAATAATTATATACGATGGTTGGTGGCATGTATATTTCGACAACAATAAGCATACGATTTAATTGGTGTCAGATATAGGGCCATCATAAACCAGAAGTGAGCTAACAAAAATTGAGTCGATGGCAATAGGACGTATATAAGTTTCAAATTGAGTCTTGATGTGCAAAAATAGAAATGAATTTAAGCGATATGAAAAATTGTTTAGGAGTATACTTACATCAATTTAATTTCGAAAAATGATCATAATAATTTGCCACAGTATCGTAAATGAGTAATATTGTCTATGGAAATGAAATGTTATGTGCTGAATGACAAATAGCGACTTACTTAATAAACGTCAGATACAACTATGAAACATATTGATTTGAAGTGAAGTGTAGGAGAGTCAGGTATTTTGGATACGAAACAGTTTGAATATTGTACAAGTATATTCAAATATTTGTCACCAAAGTAAATCTATAATCTTCGAGAATTCCAAACGAATTCACGATCGTCAACTTGGGTAAACCCATTATATATATTTTTTAATCCACTCTCTTCGTTTAAGATCCGAACACTTTAAGAGGATAAAATAACCTAAATCTTCTGTAATGAAATTCACATGAAAACCATTCATAGGACACACATTGAGGAAGGCACCCAACTGCGTAACAAGACAAGCCCTCACATAGAATCCTCAAGACCAAAGGAAAAGAGGAAGACCAAAGAACACATTACGCCGAGAAATGGAGATAGACGTGAGAAAAATGAACAAGAATTGGATGGAATTAGAAAAGAAGGCCCAGGACAGAGTGGGTTAGAGAATGCTGGTCGGCAGCCTATGCTCCATTAGGAGTAACAGGCGTAAGTATGTAAGTAATTGAAAACGATTCAGAATCTAATCAATTAATTTTTATTAAAAAAGCGATAAAAACTAGCTTGTATATTAGTTATAATTTTTACAATGTAGTACCATTTCAGAAATTAGTAATTTCTATAATCAGCATCAAGATTTGACAAGGTTCATTCGTTCGAACTTGAATCAGCATGAAGTAATTATGATTTTGGTTTAATTGATCGAAAAAGCAGAAATGTCAGGTCTTCTAGCTTAAAGTGAATAAAATCACCTGTTTCATGAGTGAAGGACCTATGGAAAGTATGAGAAGTTAACACCAAAACGTTAGATTTTATAAACAAAGAGAAAAATATAATAACATCTGTGTCATTCTTGGTTGATATAAATTTTAATTCCATGATCAAATCATTCGCTTACTGATGAATATCTATAATCTTTCAAGAATTATCATCAATTAGTGTCAGTCATACCGTCGTACAAGTTTGTTTATAACTTGAAAGCAATAACCCTATTTAACCTCTGTTCTAAAAGTATTGAAAACTCCAAGAAACGTCTATAGAAATACATTACATAAATTTTGTCTAGCCAGTTTACTGGTTGGAGATGGATTTACTACTTTTATCTGTCGGTTCTTGAACAATTAATTACAATTTCTTTGAAGCAGAAGACATATAATGTAATTTAGCTATACAAATCGTTTGGTATTGATTAAGAAGTAATACAGGATGTGATAATTTTTATCTCTTAGTAAATTAAATGGTAAAACCAACAGTTCATTTTATTTTGTTACTGATATGTTCTATGGAAAATCTAAAGTTCACTTAGTATCTTTAAAAACATTAGTGTATTAAAGATAGTTTTTATGTTTAGTGCTATTTGTGGAATCACAAAATTATACATCTGGTTTTAGTAGCTTGATTTGTGGCATTTTAAAGAGGAGATCACCTTTCGGAGTCTCATCTAGTTTTTTAATACAGAGTCAAAGTAATAGGTCTGCGAAACGAGAAGTCTTTTTATGAACGTCAGCACATAATAGTCAGTGTTTAACACTGGACGTAATTATTTGATCAGATATTAAGTATCTGGTGAGTTTACATTTCTAAATATAGTAAGACTTTATATATAGTTATCATTTGATCAGAATTGTTGTATCATGAGAAATGCTAAAAATGTAATATGAAAACTCATATGCATTTTTATAATATTCTTAGATAAAGACAATTACTACTAATAAATGAGCCGACAGTTATTTTTCAAAGGCTTATATCAACAAAATTTGTTGTTATTATAATGCAACAATACAACGTTATGTACTGGTTTACATTCACATTGTACGATATAACTGAATTATTATGTAACTGAAAGATTGTTTATTAATAAATTCAGATTATCAAAAGTAATCTTCATCAAATTTATTAGAGCACTGTGACATTAATAAAAGTTTGAATCAATACTTTCTTGATTCATTTAATGTTGTTTACTTGTATCTTCTCGGTGCTATTTAAGACTGCAATTGACTTGTTGACTTGTTGGCATATGTGCATCCTGTGCACACTGCTTCAATATTACCTGAAATCACAAGCTTTATAAGCAAAGATGGATAATGGTTAGCAGTGGAATCCAGGACTTGTGTTTCATTCTATTTAGGACTCTTCAGCTCTAAGATGCATGTTCATCCAGCTGACGATTCCTAAATAGGACAAACCACACGTTCAGGATTCCAATGCTGACTACTATCTATCTTTGCTTATAATGCTTTCTTAAGTTTTTAAATGTACCCGTCTTGATACAGTGATAAAAAAAGGTGATGTCTAACATATGAATTACAAATCAACAGTTGTAATGAACTCGATTATCAACAATGTAAATTTATATAAAATACTAAAATACTAAAATATATATTCAACAAAAGAATTTACCCACAAAAATGTTTACCAACTACACATTGCCAAGTGTTTGTATATTTCCTATCAAAATTTCTCTTGATAAAATGTGCAATACTACTAAAATCAGAATCCATAGTAATTGCTTCTGTTGCTACTTGTGCAGCATATTCTTCTAAATCTGTAGGCATTGCACTATTTATGATAATCACTTCATATTCTTTCATTATATTTAATCAAAATTATTAATTCTTTGATTAATCAACTAAATAATTATAAATTTCAATTTGTATACAAGTGGTTTGTTTAAATAATTCATAAATAACAACAACAAAACAAAATAAGAAGTTATGATTGGAACAAAAAAAGTTTTTTTTATTTTTAACATAAAAAAAAATATTTAACCACACATTTTTTTTACAAATCTATAGTGAGAAAAAAAATCACAATTTTAGTTTATTGTGTTGATTTATGCTAAAACCAAAAAAAAAGAAAAAAGAAAAAAAAGAAAAAGAAAACAAGAAAAATATGTTCAAAATGTTTTTCTGATTCTGTCTATCATATGATCTGATCTTATTTTATAATTGATCTATTCATTATGAAATTAAGTTAATTTATAAAATATTAATTGTGAGTATTTTACAAAAAAAAAATTATGTAAAAATAAAATTATCAGTTTAGGGGTTGTGGTGGTGGTGGTGGTGGTGGTGGTGGTGGTGGTGGTCTAACATCAATCGGTTCATGATCTCAATCAAAAACTTAACAATCTGCACAACCCCTATACTAACAATGATCATGTGATCACTAGTGACTAGCTTCGTTAGAAAATTATCGGAGCTCTAGTGAAAAGCTGTGACCAGTAAAACTAGTCTATGTTGGGTAGAGACAGGTATCTACCACAGTACAATGGAAAACGGTCGCGCAATTTCATAAATTGGTTGAGGTTAGACATTAACATCATTAGATGCCGGCTTTGTGGTCCAGTTGGTTAGGCGTTCGCGCACGAGACTATAGGCTCTGGTTTATAATCCTGAGAGCGGAATCGTGGATGAGCACTGTTGAGGGATTCCGCAATATAACAAAACGGCCATCCAGTGCTTCCAGGTTTTCAACGGTGATCTAACATCAATTTGTTCATGATCTCAATCAAAAAGATAAAATAAAATCAATTTTTTTCCATTTTTATTTTTAATAATAATATTAATAAGGTTGAATAACTTTAGAATAATGTTAATAAATTAAAAACTAAATACAAAATGACATGGATCTTTCATTGTTCTTCTGAACAATAACATCAGTACAAACTTTAGGTAGAAGTCTTCTATACAATTTATTGGATTTTCATAATTTCATATTATTGGTTCATTTTTGTCATTGTTAATGAAAACTTATAGTATTGTCAAATGGAATTATATTAAACAGAGATGAATAGTGGATAGCAGTGGAATCCAGAACGCGCATTTCATACTATTTAGTACTTGTTAAATGGATGTACCCGTATCTTAGAGTTGATGTTTACTCCGAGACTCGAACTAAGTATTGTTCGTTTCAAACGCCATTGTATTATTCACTTAACGACTGAATCCTCAATTAAATGAACATTTGGATTGTAGTTATAGCACAAGAAGTGAATTTATTTCAGTGCATTCTCTGATTCTATCAAATATGTACTTTTTTCTTTTTACAAATAAAATGTATAATATTTTTGATTTTATGTGAATATGTGTACAACCATTTACTTTGGTAGTAAAAAAAATATTTATATTTATGTTAAACATTCATACAAATTCACTTTATACATGAACAGAATAAGGGAGAAAGAAAACACATTGGACTGAAATATGACTAATAACTTTATTTTGTGTGTAGCAGCTAGTTGTGGAATTCTACTTATTTACTTTAGATGCATGTTAACACACTTTACAGAACAACCATTATCCAATAAGACATTGCAAATACTTTTCATTTCATTGTCAAATAAATCAACAGAACATAATCTGATTCTCCGCACAGAATATCATTTGAATAAACTTCTTCGTTAAATGAAGTTGACCGGAAGCTATTTAAATGTGAACATTGACCAGTCCAAGAAAATTCTGTCTGTTTTGTTCGAGATATTTTGCATGTGAACAGTAAATTCTGGTGAGCCTAATTGTAACGCCATTGTAGCTTATTAGTAGGATCTTTGTCTTCATATTTGATGATATTATCGTCGACATATTTCACGTGTGAAGACATTCTAATAAAAGTTTCTACAACAGTTTATTATCTTCTATGATTTGCATTGAGTGATTTTGTGTTATGATGTCACCATATATCGAATAGTTGCATAAACTGGAAGGAGAGGCACTGTGAATTGAAATCAGTTCTATAGATATCATATAATTTAAATCTTCTACACTACGTTTGTACATTTAATATTTATAACATTTTATTTTGAAGATATTTATTTTTGAAAATTAGTTTACGCGCGATTCCCGTAAAAGACATTAGATAAATACAAATTAATCTCACTTTCTGAAACTAAATCATTTCGACTTCTTAAATGTTAATACAGTGATAAACTCTATATAATGTGATTCGAGGCGATCGCCAGGACAAACGTTTATGTTAATGGTAATATGCAATCAAGACCTATTTGCAATCTTTAGAAAATCATTGATCTCATGAGATTCAAATAAGGGAAACGCAATGGTACGGTCAAAGAATTTACTCCATGGCTATTCTGATAGCTTTTGGCCTAACACAGGACTCAGGTAATAACACTGAATGGGTAATGAGTAGTAAACACCGATATTTAAATGTTGTTTCTTGACTTAGAACAGTCGTTCTACTGTTGTTTTCAATTTAAAATGTGTAAAAAAGTTTAGAAATATTAAACGGCTATATATATATATATATATATATATATATATATATATATATATATATATATATATATATATGTATATATATATCACAGGATATTAGACACATGTGCATTTCATTCGAACGAAGTGATTTAAAGTACAAATCATAAATATACAAGCATATTTTAGTTCAATTTGACCTGTGGTTTCAACGAAGTTTTCGAAGTTATAGATTCTAAAATCTGTCACTCAAAATCACTAATTCGACAAACAAAGATGAACTGACTTGCACAAACAAACTTAATGATTTAGTCGTTATCAAGTGATTTTATATAACTTGAATAATTTTTTCTGGTTAGCATTTTTTAGCGAATTAGTTTTCTAGGGGATGGATTCGCTAACCTCATGCTCAACCCTCCTCCTTTATCCAAGCTTATGACCGTCAGTAGCCCCAGAGGGTCCCCAGGCGGAGTTTGATAGACAGCGTATGCTCCATTGGGAGTAACAGGCGTAAGTGATTTTATATACACAAATAAAATGTTGAGTAAAAAAACGGTACAAAACTTTATTGACTTCATTGGCTCTAAATGGACATTGATTTTTGAATCCACGTTGATATTCAATTAAAAATCATACAAGTCTAAAATCATTATGGATTAAGAATATAAATTATAAATAAACAATGTAATATTGGATCAGGATTAATTATTTTCATACCTTACTGAACATCTTTTCTTTATCGAAAGATAACATAAGAAATAATTATGTAGTTTGTCTAAAGGAATTCACTTGACCTAAAATTACTTTATTTGAAACTTGAACATTTCTCACTTTACAGATAGAATAGATAAGAATTATTGATCTACATATATTTTCTTATTTGGCCTGTTTTTGGTTTGTTAACTACAGTGACCTGATGGTATTATATTAATGAAATAAATATATATATGTGAGCACTGTTAATTAACATTACTAACTTTGTTCACCAATTCCTAATGTCCAGTATCAAACTATCAGAAATATCTGTTGTTAGATGTTATATGCGCGATGAAATGAAAAGAGATGCAATGAAGATATTACAAAAAGCAATGAATCGTTTTACAGAGGAACGTGAGGTTGCATCTTTCATTAAATCTTACTTTGATTCTCATCATCATACACATTGGCATTGTATTGTTGGAAAACATTTTGATTGGTAAGTTAGTGAATTATTTTTATAGATTTAATTATTGTATATATTTTTTTTCCGCTTAGTTCCGTGGCATTTGAAGCATCGCATTGTATTCTGTTGCGTGTTGAAGATTTTTTGGTTTTATTATTTAAATATGGTTAATTTGAACCAAAAGATTACTTACTAATTGTATATTCGACTCATATTTATTTTTTATAATATATTATTTGTAAATTTACTCCATCCTATTCTTCTCATCTCCTAAGGTCTGAAAGAATTATGGAATCTTGTCATGTATCGTATTATTACCATGTTTTTTTTCTTTTTTGTAAAGAATGGATGGGATTTCCAATGTATATCAACCAGTAATAAATTTGTCATTGGTTGTTTCTGATGCAGCTTTTACAGTATGTTAAATAATCTTATACTAATTTATTTCATAATGTTTCTAGGATGCTTTTGGTTTTCACTGCGTATGAACTTTCTGATGACGAACCCTCACTAAGAGTTACAATTAAGGCTTTGAAACGCTTATAATAATTATGCATGTTATTATTATGAGGAGAGGGTCAGAGGAGCAACAATTTTCTGGACTGCTTTACGTAGTCCTAATCAGCACTGAATATGTTAGAAGAATATTTAATGAGTTGGATAAAACAATTTTATCTGAAGTCAGTTACTTCATACGTCTCACATTTCACCATTCTGTATATGAATATTCAGTATTAAGATATGCACTTATAGCCAATTAAACTGATGAGAAAAATCATACTGTTCATCAAAATATTGATGATTTGTTACAATGATATACTCTGTTATGGCTTGGTTTCTAGTATTAAGTAATAAATATTGAATGGGTGAGCTTTGATAATAAATCTATCTGTATAAGTATAATTGTATTTTTATATTCTTCCTACCATACATTGTCTTTATAATTGATGGGTAGTAGCTTAAAAAGGTTTACTTAAAATCGATGTTCTACTTACGTAACGATAAGTTCAGTTTCAAAGTTTCACAGTTAAATAGAGATCAGTATATTTATTTACATATTATCAATAATAATAATCCGATGATAGTTAACGGTTATTATATCTTCTCACTTCTTTCCTCATATGTAACAAAACGATGGAGTGAATGGTAACTGATTTCATCTTTTAAACTCATTTTAACATACAGCGATGTATAATCTAGAACTAATGGTTGGTTTAATTTTGATAGAATTTCGGAAATTAATTAATATAAAAGTTAACATTTTGGTTTCTAGAATGGAATAGAAGTAAGTCAGTATACATGTTAGAAATCTTTAGTATTATATGACTATCTGATTAGCTTTTTATTAAACGTCACAATATAAGCGAACATTTGTAAATAAGGTTAAATGATGTGCTCGATTCTGATCCAGAAAAATAGCTTGTGAAGAATATATTATTAACTCAATATAATAACCAATATATATTGTTTGGGTGACTATTGATGAATAACTTACGTTTCATGAAATTTATTAGTTCCTTAACTGTACAGTTAACAGATCATCATTTCCACTGAACTTGATCGATAATTAATTATGATCAAAATATGGATATCTCCCTTGGAATAGTGAATTTTCTTCACCCTCCTTGATTTATTATTGTAGTAAAAAAAGCATCAAAATAAGTGGATTAAACTGTCTGTAGTACACTATAAACTAAGGTGTTTAGACATATATCATATGTCTCAATGTGTAAAGTGTCATACACATGAAACAGTAAGAGAACGGTGTAGTTGTATTAAGCATACTACAACATAACTAAACGTTTCTTCACTTAAAACTAAAATAAAACTACTGTAATTCTGATGTCAGATTTTAAAATTTTCTTACTTCGTAAACACATCAATAATTCTGTGCTTTGATGCAATAGATTTAAGATTTCTACCTTACCTCAAGATTCAATTTACTAAACAAGATGCAACACGTAGAGAAATGAAGATCTAAAATAAATTTTAACATACTTATTGAAGTAAAGTAGGTTATAAATTAATTCACTGATTGATTTCATGAGTCAATTGAAGCTAGACCACCATAGAAAACCTGGAAGTACTGGACGACCGTTTCGTCCTAGTATGGGACTCCTCAGCAGTACGCATCCACGATCCCGCACCCCGCGAGATTCGAACCCAGGACCTATCAGTCTCACGCCAGGCGCTTAACCAAATAGACCACTGAGCTGGCATCCAGTGCTTCCAGGTTTTCCATGGTGCTCTAGCTTTATTCAGTGAATTTTCTAAAACCTTCACAAAACCCCATCTGATAATTTAAATATCTCAGTAACAATCTAAATAATCCTATTGAGAATAAATACAATATCAAAAGTAAATGTATTATTAATCTAATGAACAGAGACATAAATGAAGTGCATTTAAGTGAAAACGAGATTGTGAACTGCAAAAGAAAGATGTGATAATGCAACCAAATTATCAAACCTGTTGTGAAACTAACATAATAAAATAACATTGAAATTAGGGTACAAGAATAATGGCTAACGCGTTCTTTTGAAGATGCATAAATCTGATTTTAAAATTTTGATAGATATTGCTTCAGTCAGTTTGAAAAAAATAAGAGCCTCTTTGTTATCCACCGCAAAAGATTTCAGTATACCTATACAATGTCCCATAACAATGAGGTGTCCTTAAAAATTTACCGAATAAAAGTGTTTATTTATTTCAAGGGAAAATTATCAAGAAAATACTTAGGAAAGTAAGGTAGTCTCTTTTTTCTACTTATACATCTACTCAGGTACCGTTGTTTTTCACGTTCTATAATTAGATGTTTGTCTCCGTGTTAAATGCTTTGATAAATTGGTTCAATTTTGAGGATTGTTAGACAAGATAAAATTTATGACAGTATAAGTTGAAAAATAAATCATGCCGTTAGTTGATTGCTTAGACTATCTATCAAGGGAAAATATCTGCCTACATAGAATTCGCTCTTATCTTCTGATTTATTATAAAAGAGACCACCGCAAGTCGGAGGATGAAATGATACATAGGTTAGTAAGTCAGATTTTCTAAGACCCTTGGCTGTTCATCCATTTTCAACAAAATAAATTATATCTAGTGTAATAAAACTAACACGATTGAAGATTTAAATGTTTTTTTGCTGAAGCTTCATCTTCTAGTTTATAGTTACTGGATATATAAAAAATCATTCACTTACTTATATCTGAATTACAAATTTTAGTACAAAATCGTTATTTGCTATATTTAAGGACAATTTAGAATAATAGTTGCAATCCCCTTCTTTGATCTAGGAGTTGAATTTTTGGTGAGTTGTTAACCACTTTTCCACCTTGAAATTGACTCTAGAATAAGATATACAACACAAATACACAAGTTCATTCAGTTGAAAGACGTTAAACTTATTAACAGAAAGTACTGTGTAACCAATAGTTGTTTATATTGTTAAAAATAAATGAAAAATTCATAAGTATTATACATATTTTCTACAAACTTATATCATAATAAGAATAAATCACTTATCAATATGTTCATTTGTCGTCTGGATAAAATACGCTTATCCTGAGGGTTCTCTTTTAGTCATACTACTATTTCTAAGATAATGATTTCTGATTTTAAAATAATGTAGAGATCAACATATAGCTGATCGCCTCTATAGCAGGCTTTAGATGCAATAATAATAATTTTGTTGTAAGAATAATCATCAAAAAGCGATCAACTAAGTTAAGTGTCTATATTTTATGAAATCTTATTTTTATTTCTGTAGTATTTTGTTCTCTGAATGAAATCATGAAGCTTTTATTTTTATTCTCGAAAACATTATCAGCACCTATCACATGTGAAAGATACGTATGATGCTGTCTTGAACAACAAAAAAAGTCTCTTGATTCAACTATTTAGTTCATAGTAAACAACATGGCATAAAATATCCATCTGTGTTTCAAATCTGCTCATTTATTAATCCTTTATGTTTAATTTATATCATAATATATTTCATAAAATTGAAGCAAAAATACATAGAATAAACTTGAGGTTTACACTCAACAACACAACAGTAAAACTTAAAATGGTCAGGAAATGGTGGACGATTTTTGTACGATAACGAACATACTATTAAAGCAAGATGTTTGGGATAGGTTAGGATCTTACTCTAAATAAGTGAGATGATTTCATATACTTGTGCCCATTGTATGCAGAATACATTTGTACCTCACTAGTAATGGGTGAGTTATATGAGGTTGTAAAACGTCAAAGATTTACTTTCACAGGTGATAACAATTCCATGCGTTTTAGAAGTTGAAATATAGTCAGCTAAAAATAATTTATAGTGCTTGAACATAGACATCCCAGTGTCAGAATAAAATCACATAACTTTTTGATTAATTCCCAGATTTACGGAATAATGACTTTGAAATAAAATTTAAACACTAGCAAATGAACGTTTGTTTCCTGAATTCTTCACTAAATTAGTGTGGTTTAACATGTTCATATTAAGGAACTATGCCAATCAACCAAAGATCAATTTCCGGTCTCACGTAACTTTCTAACCAAAAAGAAATTAGTTTGTTTAAATAGCATGCTTATGATCATTTTATCAATAGAATTCAGTATTTTGACTCAAAAGTTATTAATTTTGGGACATGCAGTATATAGGCAAATTTATGGTCAAATCGCACAGCAAGGCCAAATAAAGGCTATAATAGGATTTGAGTACATATATACATGTGGAGAAGGATGAATCATAGAGTGATATTCAAACGATCAACATTCTGGCTAGAGTTTGTCATGTGATCTAGTGATCATAATAGTATAAAGAAATATGTGAATTGTTACTGTTCGAATAACATTATCTGATAAGTAAGTTAATAGAAGAGCTTAACTAAAATTAACCATAATCGAAATTGGTTGTAGCATAGTTGCTATAGTTATCATTATTCTATATAGCTGATGAAAATTCAAAATATTGACAATATGAACATTTATTCATACTCGTTAATGATCAGGAAATGTATTCGAATTGTAGTTAATTTTAAACATTTGATTACGTTATCTTGAATTGTTATTAGGGTCCTTTGCGTAGATTGTTACATTATAGATCGTCGTAAACAAAATCAATAAATGTTGTAAACACTGACTCTTGGATTGGATTTCTACATTTACTGAACTAACTTACAACAATATAATTACAGTTGTTTAATGAGTAGAAAATGAAATTTCGGACTTTTTGTAGGTCGCCCTTCAGAGAA